GTTGCCCATACGATTGCAATTAGATTGGTTATAGTAGATTAAGTCCTTGAGTTCAAGGGGAAGTCACCTTGGTGGGATGGACTGGACTAGCTTGGGGGTTTCTCAAGTGAACCAGGATATATCACGTGTTCTTTACCTTTGCTTATGCTTTGGAGTTTGTGTTTTCTTAACTTAATTAGAATCATTACTTATAGGTAACACTCAGAAGCATTGTTCAACGAATAATGCTTAGAAGTTAAAGTTATTCAAGAAAGGAAACCCAATTCACCCCCCCCCCCCCCTTTCTTGCGTTTTCTTCACACCTTCAAAAGTGAAGTTAATTCGGGAAAAGATGAAAACTTCGCAGAGTAGGCAGAAGAGTTACCATGACAAGCGAAGGAAAGACCTTGAATTTTAAGAAGGAGATCATGTGCTTTTGAGATTCATGTCGGTAATCAGCGTTGAACGAACATTGAAATTGAAGAAACTTACTCATCAGTTTATTGGCCCGTATCAGATTTCGGACAAAGTGGGAACTGTTAATTATAGGGTGGCCTTGCCACCTAACTTTTCGAATTTGCATGATTTGTTCCATGTGTCACAACTTTGGAAGTATATTTTGGATCCATCTCATATGATATCGATGGATGATCTACAAGTGCGAGATAACCTTACGGTCGAAACTTTACCAGTGAGAATCGAAAACAGTGAAGTGAAAACGTTCAGAGGAAAAGAAATTCCTTTCGTGAAAGTAGTTTGGGAAGGAGCAGCTGGAGAAAGTATGACATAGGAGTTAGAGAGCAAGATGCGGGAGTCTTATCCAGAATTGTTCGCATAAGGTAATTTTCGAGGACGGAAACATTCTAAATGGGGGAGAGTTGTAACACCTCATTTAAATATTTAGTTATCGTTGATTGATTTTGAGTTACTTTGGTATAATTAAGGGTAGGTAAGTATGACTAAGGGTATGTGAGGTCTTAGTTTTAATCAAATAATTAGAATGAAAATTAGTCTATGGTGTAATAATAATATTGGTGAATGATGAAATATATTATTATTATTAATGAAAATATTATTAGATATATGGTATTATTACCACTAATAATATTATTAGTAGTAATATTATAGTTATTATTATTATTATTATTATTATTACTATTCCATTATTATTATTATTATTATTTAAATAGAATAAAATCATTAACAGAAGAATAGTAGGAACATTTTAGAGAAAAACTATTGTCACGTGAAAACAAAGAAATGAAGAAGAGGAGTAGCTAGGGCAAGAGAGAATTCCACCATATTTGAAGGATCAAAACTCCAAACTAAGGTAAGGGGGGGATTGATTCTCTAAAGGATGATTATAACATGAGAGGGTAGTGAAGGTCCCTTTCCCGCTTTAGGTTTTGCGTATAATTGATGTATGATTCTTCTTTTGTTTGATTAATATTATTTCTATGTGATTCTATGTGGAATTGTAAATTGAATGATGTCAATATTGTGATTGTTGCTGATAATTGTTGTTATTGGGATGTTGTTTCATGAAAATCCCAATCTAGAAATATAGGTTTAGGAAGATGATGAACAATGAGGATTTAGATGTAGAAAACTGTTATAGGATGATAGATCAATGAAATTAGATGAAGTCTATAGGTTATTATGTGTAAAAATATTGTTTTGGACCCAAATTAGGAGGTTGAAAGTGCTCAAAATGAGTGGAAATCGTACTAGTGCAACAACAAAATTTGGAAAGTAGCAGACTAGCCATAAGTGTATGGTACGCCTATGGAGGGACGTTCCCAGGGACCGTACGTGTATGGTACGCACCCTGTCCCCGAGCCAACACGTTCTTCTAGTGGTACGCGTATGATACGCGTATGAGAAAGAGTCATACGCATATGAATTAGTCGGTACGCGTATGAGAATTTTGGAGAGATTTTTTGGGGGAAAACACCTCTGATGGTACGCATATGATACGTGTATGAGACATGTAGGAAGAAGTTGTACGCATATGAGCAGGATGAATTGTATAAATCTTTATTTTTGTGATTTCTTTTTTGTTTTCGCGTGCGATGTAATTTCCCTGATCTGTAATGAATAGTATAATTTTAAGTAGACATAGGAAGGCTAGTAATAACAGATATTGGATTAAAACGTGGAACTTTATGTGGATTTGTATGTTGTATGATGATAATAATCTTGGTGGCCTTATTGGCAAATATAGTGAGCTTATGCCTTGTGGTTGCATAGTTGTGGTGTTGCATGTCGGTGATGCATGCATTTATTAGTGAGGGCTTATGCCTTGTTATTGGCCTGTAATATCGTTATATTGAGGGCTTATGCTCTGTTGTTGCCCTATTTGACATAATAATGAGGGCTCATGCCCTGTTGGTACCACATGCATTTAGTTGTTGCCAGTTGCATTGCACTATCTTGATTTGATGTTGTGTTATATGAATGAAGAATGTGTTGCGAAGTACTGTGTGAAATGTGCATTTTATGAATTATGTGAATTGTATGAATTACTACTCCTTGGCATGTGACATTCACCGTATATTTATTGAATGTAATTCTCACTCCTTTTCTGTTGTTGTGTTTGTGCTCCTCAGGGAGTACAGATAACCAGGTACCCGAGTAGTGTTTGGAGTGAGTGTTGCTTGATCGAGTTTTATGAGTCATTCTGACATGTAACACGGGATTTGGGAATTTGTTGTTTTTGTATTGTTTTTAATTGTTACGTATCTTAATTCATAATTATGTTGAATCACGCATTTTGTGGAGTTTTTATTATCGTTGAGGTATTAGTGCCATGAAAGTGAATTAATTTGAATTGTTTCACTGCTTTGTTGATTATTATGAATAAATATAATAATAAAGTGACTTGAAACTTTATGAGTTTATTTAAATGATATGACATCTTACTTGTGAACTCTGATGTATATTTTATATATTTTATTACAATTATAACTATTATGGAAAAGTGTAACCCTAATAGTTAACTTTAGCAAGTGGTAGGGGTGTTCGCGGTTCGGTTTGAATCGGTTTTAAAGCAAAAATTTATCCGATCCAAAGATTAATTCACTTACGGTTCGGTTCGGTTTTGAATGATATATTTTAAAAAATCCAATCTGATCCGATCCAATTTTATGCTGTTTAATTTGGATCGGTTTTTGGATATCCAAATTACACATTATATTTTTATTAATATTATAAAACTACTAATAAATCATACATTTGATATAATATATAACATATTAGGGATGTCAGTTTGGACCTGTTAATGGGGATCCCCGCGGGGAACGCCCCGTTCGGGGCCCCAAAGATGGGGAATTTTCCCCCGTGGGGGCGGGGATGGGGAGAAAAATTCCCCCGAGAGCATTTCGGGGACGGGGACGGGGAATACACCCCCCGCCCCGCGGGGACCCCGCCCCGCCTATTATTTTAATATAGTTAATTTAATATATATATTTTAGATTAGGTTTTTTAGTCATTTCCTTTATGTTTATTTATAAAAATAAATAAATAAATATTCATGTATTCATGTATTCATGTATTTAATAAATGTCAAATACTAGTATTTTTTAATAACATAATAAATATGTGAATTCTTTGTGCTTTTTATTTTTATAGAAAATATAAACATTTTAAAAAAATAAAATATTAATGAATAAATGTAGGATCTATGGGGATCCCCGCGGGGAACGGGGATCCGCGGGGAACGGGGATGGGGATAGAAATTCCCCCGTGACGGAGATCGGGGACGGGGACGGGGAATGAATTTGATGGCGGGGAAAAAGATGGGGAAGTGTCCCCCCGGCCCCGCCCCACCCCATTGACATCCCTAAACATATAGTATTAAAAGTTAATATTACAAAATGAGAGTGATTGATTATGCTTGAAATAATAAAAATAAATAAGTAAATAAAAAGTAATAAAAAATTCACATAACATGTCATAGTAATAAAAAGTAAATAAGTATCAAAATATATTTATGCGGTTCAGTTTGGTTTGGATCGGTTTTGAAAAATTCATCCGAAATCCAATCCGAACCGATCGGTTTTCATAAAATAACATCCAAACACAACCAATAATTTTCGGTTTTTTACGATTTTTAGTTTTTTGGATCAGTTTTCGATTTTCTATTTAGATTGATTTGGATTTGAACACCCCTAGCAAGTGGGAGGATAACCCATGTTAGACTAGTGCAGCTTTTATAAACATTTGTTTTATTTTCAGGGAATTGTTCATTTCATTCTTGCGATTACTCATCCGCCATGGTGAAAATTCTAAGATATCTCTTTTGCATCATCCAGTTGAAATCGAGTGCACCATAACGGTACAAACTCAATTTCAAAACCACGCCAAATAAATAAAATAAAAAAGTCCCAATTATAAAATCTGGTTACACCATATACATATTGAAATCCGGATGCAATCACATACTGCCAAAAAAAAACTCAAATTTACTCAAAATGTATCAAAAACACAAATAATCATAACTCAGATATTTATCAAAGGTTTTTGTCTCAACTTAAGAGTTTTCAACCTCCTCAAATTATTTGGAGAATGAAAATATTTGTACATCGAAAAAGACAAGACAAGTGGAATAAATGATGAAATGCAATTAATTGGTAGGACCATGATGAAGAAAAATCAGCATGAAATTGGCATTGCCGTGGGGAGCAGTAAGATTAATAATAATTCAAATACGGTGATTCTGTCCCAAAAAGACAATGGAAGGGAGGTTTGAAAAGTAAGTAAGGAGTGAGGCCCCAATAGCTGACTAGGTGGATTCACATTGTGATAATTACACATAACAATAAGGTTTGAATTTGGAAGTCGACAATGCAGTATCAGTAAATTCTTCTCAATAAGGTTAGAGCAAGTTATCATAAATCTAGCAATTTTATCTCTGGAATAGAAATAGCTATTGATAATGTTATCATAAAACTGTCTCTTTGCTTTATTTTTTTTATAACAAATGAAATCATGGTCTGATGGCCAGCACCCGCACTAATCAGATGGCCAGCACCAGCACCAGCATAACCTCTTCAACTCCAAAAAGAAATTATTACTATGATGTGTTTGTGAGCTTTAGAGGTAAAGATACTCGCTTCAACTTCACTGATCATCTCCTTGCTTCCCTCCAAAGAAAAGGTATTTATGCATTCAGGGATGACACTAAGCTCAACAAAGGTGAGTCCATAGCACCTGAGCTCCTTCAAGCAATCGAAAACTCTCAGATTTTCATCCTAGTTTTCTCTAAGAACTATGCTTCCTCAACTTGGTGCTTGAGAGAATTGGAACACATGCTTCTTCACTGCCGTCAACCATCGGTAAAACGTATTCTGCCTGTTTTCTATGATGTTGATCCTTCTGACGTGAGACATCAAAAAGGTACTTATGGTGAAGCCTTAGCTAAACATGAACAAAGATTCCAACAAGATTTTGAGAAGGTGCGAAGATGGAGGGCAGCTCTAGCACAAGTCGCAGATCTCTCTGGCTGGGATGTGCGTTATAAGTAAGTAATCTTCCTTATTGATAATATTGATGCTCTTACTTGTGCAAAAATTTAAAGCTTTGACACATTAATGTAGTAATTAATCAACAGAGTTTTTCTAAAAGGGAAAAGCAACTCTGTTATGCAAATGGCTTTTTGTTTTTGTTATGGTATGAATGTGATGATTTGGTGTTGTTGGTTAACTGTTTTAAACTTGCAGACCACAACATGCAGAGATTGAAAAGATTGTTGAAGAGATTATAAATATCTTAGGTTACAAGTTTTCAAGTCTTCCAAAGGACTTAGTAGGGATGCACTCTCCTATACACGAATTAGAAAAGCATTTACTTTTGGACTCACTTGATGATGTCCGCGTTGTAGGAATTTGTGGGATGGGTGGAATAGGAAAGACAACTCTTGCTACTGCTTTATACAACAAAATCTCTCATCAATTTGATGTGTGCTGCGTTATTGACGATTTAAGCAAAACTTATAGGCAAGATGGTCCGATCAGTGCACGAAATCAAATTCTACTTCAAACTGTTGGTGATCAACAGCTTCAAACATGCAATTCTTACGACACATCTAACTTGATACGAAGTAGGCTACAACGTGTAAAGGCCCTTATAATTATTGACAATGTTGATAATGTTGAGCAACTTGAGAAATTAGATGTGGATCGTGAATGGTTAGGTCAGGGGAGTAGAATAATTATAATTTCTAGAGATGAGCATATATTGATAGAGTATGGAGTGGATTTTGTTTACAAAGTTCCACTCTTGAATGAAAAAAACTCTCTTCAATTACTAAGTCGAAAAGCTTTTAAACTTGATCATATTGTGAGTGGTTATGATAAGTTGGCATTTGACATACTACATTATGCAAAAGGCTTGCCACTGGCAATCAAAGTATTGGGTTCATTTTTGTTTGGTCGTAATATCTCTGAATGGGAAAGTGCATTGGCCAGATTGAGAGAAAGTCCAAACAAAGATATCATGGATGTGTTGCGATTAAGTTTTGATGCTTTGGAGAAAACAGAAAAGGAAATATTTCTTCATATTGCCTGTTTTTTCATCTTTGGCAATGAAGAATATGTTACGAATGTTCTTAATTGTTGTGGATTTCAAGCTGTTATTGGATTGAGAGTTCTAATTGATAAATCACTTATAAGCTCAACAAGATCTTATATTGAAATGCATGGTTTGTTGATTCAATTGGGCAAACTAATAGTTCAAGAAAAATCAAGAAAGTGGAGCAGGGTGTGGCTCCATGAACAGTTTTACAATGTTGAGTCGAAGAATATGGTAAATTAGTAGTTTGAAAATATAAAACATATTTTCATTTTTATAAATTTTCTTTTGAAAGTTATTAAGGCTTTTCTTTCTTTTTTGCAATGTTTAAGGAAAAGAAGGTTGAAGCCATTTGTTATGAAAGACCTATTCATCTAATGACCATGGGCGACATGTTGTCAAAAATGAGTCGTCTAAGATTGCTCATAATGAAGGGAGATAAATTTTTAGGAAACCTCAGTTGTCTTTCTAATGTGTTAAGATATGTGGAGTGGAATAGATATCCTTTCAAGTATTTGCCATCAAATTTTCAACCCAATCAACTTGTTGAATTGATCTTGAGGTCCAGCAACATCAAACAACTATGGAAAGACAAGAAGGTATTGTATGTTCCCTTTTCTTCTTTTTTTCCATTCAAGAACATGAACAAATCAGAAGGAAAAAAATGCCAACCCCCTCCCCTCCTCTCTTTATGGTAAATTTATGAATAAAATGAGACGTTGGTTCTATTTTTGTTTGTTCTGGCAGTATTTTCCTAAGTTGAGAAGTTTGGATTTGAGCCACTCAAAAAATCTAAGAAAGATGCCAAATTTTGGAGACATCCCAAATCTTGAGCGACTAAGTTTTGAAGGATGTATAAAACTGGTGAAGATGGATCCATCTATTGGAGTTCTAAAAAAGCTTGTTTTCTTGAGTTTGAAAGATTGCAAAAATTTAGTTAGCGTACCAAACAACATATTTAGTCTCAGCTCTCTTGAATGTGTAAATCTTTCGGGGTGTCCCAAAATGTTTAAGAATCAAAGGAGTCTGAATATAAGTGGAAACGCGTCACATTCCCAATCAACAACGTCCTCCATCTTGAAATGGACAGCATTTCGTTACCATTCCTTGTACTCCCGCGCACACAAAGATTTAGCTAGTTGTTTGTTGCCTTCCTTGCTTAGCTTCTGTAGCTTGGTTGAACTTGATATTAGTTTTTGTGGTCTAAGCCAACTCCCTGATGCAATTGGGTGTTTACGTTGGCTAGAAGAATTAAACTTAGGAGGAAACAATTTTGTAACGTTGCCTAGTCTGAAGGAGCTTTACAGACTTGCGTTTCTAAACTTGGAGCATTGCAAACTCTTGGAATCTTTGCCTGAACTTCCTTTTCCAGCTGCTATCGAGCGGGACCTTCGAAAGAACAAATATAGGAATAGAAAAGGATTGGTCATTTTCAATTGTCCTAAATTGAGTGAGAAGGAACTTGGCAGTACTATCGATTTTTCATGGATGACAGAGTTTATTCAGGCAAACCAAGTATTCTATTCAATTTATGAAGAGATTTATTTTGTAGTTCCAAGAAGTGAAATACCAAGTTGGTGCAACAATCAGAGTGAGGGTCACTTAATAAGAATAGATCTATCTCCCATTATGCTCGACAATGACAATAATATCAGTGGCATTGCTTGTTGTGCAATATTTTCTGTTGCACCTGTTGACCCAACTATGACCACATATGCACAACGACCTGAAATACAACTACTTATTTATAATACTTTAATTAAGATTAGGTGGGATAGGATCATTCCAATAACTCTTGAAAGTGATCTTATTGAGATCAAATCAGATCACATGTGCCTAATCTATTACCCTCTGGAATTAGTCTTTCAATTTCTCAAGTCTATAGACAAAACTCACATCCACTTTGATCAGTTTAAGCTGTATGTTAAAATTGATAATGGAAAAGGTACGGAACTCAATTGTACGCATTTGAAGGTTCAGAAGTGCGGGTATCATTGGGTAAATAAACAAGATTGTGCGCCGCTGCTGTAATTTCTTACTTTCGGATGTGCAAGTTTTTGGCAATTGAAGCATTGTGTAACAAATGTAACTTAATGAACTTTCAATAAAAAGTATGAGAGACCCAAATTTTAGAAGTCATTCCATTATTTTCTTGTTAGATACAAGTAATGTGATTATGCTTTGTTTATGTTGTTAGTATCTGTTGGCTGAAGATTTTGATAATATTATTAGAAGTCAAATGAATTAAACGTTTTGATCGAAATGAAGCAAAGCGTCATGTTTCGAAGTAGCAGAAGCAGTGTTTCGAATAAGCATGTCAAAGCTGGAGCTTCGAGTGGTAATTATGGGAACATATCTAAAGAAGTCTCGAAATAACAACAAGGCTGTGTCTGGGAAGTGCGTTCGAAACGGAGAAGTACCAAAGCATTTGAAATTCAAATGGAAGCGGGACATTCGAAGTTTGAAATTTATGTGCTGGAGCATTTGGAGACACGTGGAAAGAAGAAAGAGGCATTGTTCTGCATGTTCTGAACGTGGCATAATCCTATAGCAAGACCGTTATGGTCGAATTAGTATAAATAGAAGTCTTAGTATTAGGATTTCGTGTGTCATATCTATTGTACTAAATACTCAGTAACATTCAAACTACCACATGGCAAGGGAAACGAATGCAAGAGCAATGTACGTATGATAGCACCATATATTTATGATTTAATGAAAACCTTTTACCATTTCCAGCACTTTCCTTTATCTTTCTGTCAAACAACATTTATAAGTTTTCTCATTTACAGTCTTTTCACTTCGAAATCTCTTCCTTAAAGTTTTACATTTCAATGCTTTCTTCACATTTCAAGCACTTTACATTTCAGAAAACTGTCATACTTTCCATGCCTTTACCTTCAAGCTTTATCCTTCGAACGCCTATTTTTACTTAAAGTCATTTATAGATTTCTTGCATTAAACGCTTTCTTCATATTTCAAACCTTTTACGTTCCAGAAATCCTTTACATTAACTGTTTTTATAATTCGAAACCATTTACTTGCCTTTTATGCAATTTTACATGTCTTTACAATTAACATTTATTCATGCAACTTAGTTTCGTACACGCACATTTTGATTACATCTTTAGACCTTTAAGAGAGAAATCGAAATAAGCCAAACACCTATACAACACTTAAATATCAACCATGAATATCTGTTCGATCATGAGAGTTACCCTAATGACCAAGGAATCCTAGGATCAATCTAGTCGATCCTGTGAGTTACCAGAGGAATTGAATAACAGTCAGAAAGATTATTCGATAGTTTGGAAGACTAGCGGTTGTTTACCAGAAATCACTGGAAACAAATTGGCACACCTGGTGGGACCAATAATTGGATATTGGAAACAAAGATTGTTGAGACATAACCATTATAAAAACGTTGGAACCTAAGAAGTTTGCTGTTTTATGAACCTGAGAAGTGGTAAAATAACCAACAGCAACCAACCTTTATCCAGAAGAAAACGTTTGGACAAAATGTCTAATTCTGACAATCAACAAGGGGAACAAAATGCCCCACATACAACAGGCACTAATGTGTCCACTTCGATCGGAACATCTAATGTGATCCCTTCGAATGCACAGTCTGTTGCATCTTCAACCAGTAATATAGCCACCAATGGAGTAAGTGGCATATCAACTAATAGTTCGATCTTAGGAAATACTGGAACCATTGGTTACCCTGGGGGATTCGTTCCACCATCAGGGACACAATCCCATTTCGCCACTCCATTAACTAGACCACCCGGTTTCGATGGAAATAGAACCAGAAATTCCTCTTATGGAATGCCAACATCTTTTATGGCAGGTTTACACAATTCCACATCGAATTCATCCCCACAACTAGGGTCTGGGTCTGGAGCGAATCAGTTTATGACAAATAACCAAGGGTCAGTGGGTTATAGCACAATGCCTATTTTAACCACAGAAAACCAGTTGGCTTTTAGGCAATTGATGGATGACAGTAACCATAATATGATAGGGGTGTTAGCACAAACCATGCAGGAGATATTTGCCCCAATAGTGCAAAATGTGACTGTGACAAACAGGGAAAACACTGACAACATGAGTCGAATAGCAGATTTCTTTGCTCCCCCAGAAAGGCGTAGGCAGAATCAGGCGGGATTTCGAGCAAACATGCCTGTTATAGAACAAATTGCTAACGACCCAATTTATAGACCACCCAGAGAAGAAGTTAACTTAGGGGCCAGGGCACCAAGGTTAGAAGCCCCAATAATCCCAGGCCCACAAAGAGAAATTATGGAACCAGGGGCAAGGGTCGAAAGGCTAGAAGCCCCAGAGTTTCGAGAAGAACAACCTAGGGGAGTTGTCTTGGTTGGTCGAAATCAAGATGCCGATGCTGTCGTTCATAGAATTCGAAACGATAACATCTTGGCAGAAAACAATCTAACCACCATGATAGAGAGAGTCATGGCCCAGAATGGCCTCAACACAGGAATGGGAAGGCCAAATTATGCTTCTCCTATATTGGATTGCATAATGCATACTGATTTACCAAGGAGATATAAAGTCCCTAAATTTACAAAGTTCGCTGGGGATACCAATGAGTCGACAGTCGAACACATAGCGAGATATCTAACCGAAGCGGAAGATATAGCCAATAATGAAGATCTCAGGATCAAATACTTCTCAAGTTCCTTGACTAAAAACGACTTCACATGGTTTACCACTTTGCCTCTTGGGTCCATTGATACTTGGGCTCTCTTGGAGAGATTATTCCATGAACAATTTTACATGGGACAGTCGAAAATAAGCTTGAAGGAATTGGCCAGTGTTAAGAGAAAGTTCACCGAACCCATAGATGATTATCTGAACAGATTTAGGCTTTTGAAATCCAGATGTTACACAGTAGTGCCTGAACATGAGTTAGTCGAAATGGCCGCTGGTGGCTTGGATTATTCTATTCGAAAGAAACTAGACACTCAATATTTGAGGGATATGGCTCAGTTAGCCGATAGGGTTCGACAGGTCGAAAGGCTAAAGGCCGAAAAAGCCAGAGTCTTTAAGAATAGCAAGAAAGAAAGGATTTCCTATGTTGGGACTGAGGAAGCAGAAGAATATCCTGAATTCGAATTCGAAGAGGTCGAAATCGACCTCGCTGAATTAAAACAGGCCCCGCCTTATTCCTGCAAATTATTGGTTCCCACAAAAGGGAAAGAGATTGTTGAAAATGAGAAAAGTGACAAATTCCCAAAGAAGGTTTATACCTTCGATGTCACTAAATGTGACGAGATTTTTGACTTACTTGTCAAAGATGGCCAACTAATTGTGCCATCAAATGTCAAAATACCTCCTTTGGATCAGAGAAAGAAGAGAGGATTTTGCAAATATCATAGTTTCCTAGGCCACAAAACCTCACAATGTTTTCTTTTCAGGGACCTAATTCAAAACGCAATCAAAGATGGCAGACTAAAGTTTGCTGATAAGGTGAAGATGAAAGTGGACGAAGATCCCTTGGACGTCGCAGACACCAACTACTCCGAGTCTGCATGCATTGGAGAGATCAACATGGTGGAAACTGATCAAAGCGACGCCCTAACAGGAGAGAAGGGTACTGAAACTGAAAACTGGGTGATGGTCGAAGTCAATAAAGAGGTCACTGAAGACATCCAGAATACGCCAGAGACTTCGATTTCCGCACCTGTAGCTGTTGCAAGAGAAACCCAGGCTACTGAAGGCCAGGGAAATCAAAACCAAAAACTAACACAAGTCACTGAAGGCTTGAGGCTGGAATTGGAGAAAGTCCAAATCACGAAGCCAATTTCCCCTCAGAAGGAAATATGGGACACTCTAGGGGAACCCAGTGGAAAATTTGACTATTTGGTCAAATATTCTGCCCCAGAGAGTTCGAAGGTTCAGATTAAGGATATAAATCCCACAGGATGGGGCGATGATGAAGCTAAGGGGGAAGATGTTGAGATAAATATGGTGGATATGGAAAGGCCTCGCTCTGAGATGGAGGAAGTAGAAAAATACTTAGAAAAAGAAAAGTATAGAATGGAGGATAATCACACTGGAGATGCTAGTCTCAAGGATTACCTCATGACATGCCACAAAGGAGATTCAGGCATGATATTGTACCCTAGGTGCAGCATCCTCTGCAATCAAAGAATCGCTGCGAATTTCGAAAGGGTACAGAGGACTCGAACTGGCAACAATTGGCGCCAGGATAACCAGCTTTTTAGGTGTTATCCCAAGGCTGGAGAAAGTTTGCTGGAATTTGTGTTTCGCTGCTACAAAGGGGCAACCAAGTGCTTGATTTGTCCAAGGTGTTCTGCTGTGTATGACCAAAGCATGGCCAGAGCCTTCGAAACGATTCCCTTCGCCCCTTGCTGGAACCATCAAGAAACTGTTCAGATGGGCCCACGTTTCGACAGCAGACACAAACAGAGAAGGCCTGATAGCCCTCACCCCAAGGCTGCTCGAAGAGTGACTTTCAAACTCCCTGCTGAAGTGCCAACCGATAGATGGTTACAGGTCAGAAATGACAAAGGCAAAGATAGATGGAGAAACGCCGAACGAAATGCACGCCATGCTGTGACATACAGGAGGCAATTCAACACAGCAAAAAGGGAGGAGGTGAGATTAGAAAATTACAAAGGAAGGAACCCCATGTCAAGATCCCAGTGGCGCAGACAGCAAAGGATTCGAAAGGCTGAGAGGGAAGTTGTGGCAAACAAAGGGGTTACTTCAACAAAGAACCAAGGTGAATCTAGCACCAACAAACCAAAAAATCAAACTGAAGACAAACCTCCAGTCAATAGGAGGCTTTTCTCTGAAGTACAACGCGATGAACCAAAGGAATACACTCCAGGCCCAGAAGAGGATGAAGAGATGATAACAGATAACTTCGAATTGGAGGGGGAGTCTTCATTCAACCTGAACTGTAACGTGGTGTCTGTGCTTCCCTGCGAATTTGGGCAGGAAACCGAAATCGATGAATATGAGGAGGAAGACACCACAGATTT